CTTGCTAAAATATTAATGAGAGTAGTGACAGTGAGATATTTGCTACAGTTGCATTTTTAGTAATGGAACAGGAAAACATTACTGACCTGAGGTTCAGCTAGACTGTACTCACTGTGGCCTTAATACACCACAATGACCTATATAATCAGCTCTGATTATTTAGTCAAAAAGTATGTATGTGTGTGACATGTACAAATACAGGGAGCAGCAGCAACCCACTGTCCAACACTGGCACACTGTGAGGATGCAGACCGACAGCTATGCTAACAGCCCCAGGGATGTAAATGAGAGAGACTCAGGATCAGCAGGCATGGAGAGCTGCTGGGTCCATGTATCATTCGTTCATTCCATTTTCAATTTAAAATCAAAAATACAAAAAATGGTTTGTTTTTCTTATTTTTGATTTTATGCTCACATCAAAAATAGCAAATCGAAAAATGGGCCACGATTAAAATTTGATTTTGATTTTTCATTTGATCCAACTTGCATGACCCGGAACTACTTTCTACGGAAGCGCATTGCATTCACTGGATAAAAAAACAACACCTAGGCTACAACCTAACGTTACAGCAGCCTACAAGCATTCTGTGTCAGTAAATCAGCTCAGACACTGTTAGAAATGTAGTATTTAGCGTAATAACATGCTACAGCAGTAATAACGTCAGCTTTAGTCAAATGGCTCCAGCTCTCCCGGTAAATGTCATTAACTCTGGACACATTTCCCTGTATGTTGACATGATAATGGCCCAACTCCCAGATCGCTCTTAGTTTAAGAAGATCTTTCACTAAGAGGGAGTTGTAAGATTGAGCTGACCCACTCTTAACACTAGGACCGCCAGGATTACAGCGCCCCTCCAAGCACTTCAACGCCATCATATGTAACTTCATTGTTTATGCTGCCCGTGTTCTCAGAAGCACACAAAAAATGCATTTTTGAGTAATTTCCGAGAACTTATGATAAAATAAAAATATATTACAGACTTTAGAATAGGACTGACAACCTCTCCAATGTCTCATATCAATTAATTAACACTATTTGTCGGCTTTTTATAATGCCCTTTTTTTTTTTGCTGCTGCGCTGCTTCTGCGCCATGTCTCCAGTTGAAAGTGGTGACTTGCTAAATACATTCTACAATAATAAATTAGATTAACTTTTGGTCTATAATATTGTTGGCTATATTACGCATTTTAATAAAAAAAAACTTAAGAATAAAAGAAAGACACACACACACACACACACACACAGTTCAGCCGCAGTCTCGCCGGCGGAGATTACATTCATTTTTTATTATTAACAAAATGGCTCTTTATTGACCATATGAATGGTTTTGTTTTCAAATAAATATTTGGAAACAAAAATGTATGCTTTGGTGTATAGCCTACCTGTATGGATCAAAATGTATTACGGTCGGAGGTATAAATGCTCAGAAGTCTAGTGTGTTTCATTTTTGTAACTTAAAGGCTTCAGAAAACATACAAGACACATTTTTAGGAAAAGTCATAGGAAGACAAGCTTGTAGGTTTTATCTAAACAGAGTTTGGAGTTTAATTCTGCAGGGAAACGCGTGTCCTTACTGTGCATATTGAATCTTGAATCTATGTTTTATGAAGACCCTGTGTGCGCTCAGAGCTGTGGCACAAGTTATGCACCGAAATCTGGCGGAAGAAAAATATTAAGACGAAAAATAAGTAGGCTGTGTGTGACTCATACGCTGATGAAGTGGTGGGTGATCAATGTGCCTGACATTGATTGATTTAGTTTCAGCACCTCGGTAGTGACCAGCTCTGCTGAAAATGCTCATATGATTTTAAGGGCTAGGGCTATGAGCCTATGTTGGTGGCTTATGTAGCCTATGTTTGAACCATTTAATTAAAATATGTCTGCATATCAAAAGCCAAAAACTTGAATATGTAGTTCATTCTTTGAAGTAATGAAAACATTTTTCAAGATTTAAGACTGGTCTATATACTTTTTGACTGTCTGAACACTGACAATTAAAGGCTTGCAAATAATTAATGACTGGTGAACTTAAATTAATGTAGCCTATGTGAATGCAGGAAAGTGAGAATTGCCATGTAGGTAACTGAAAATTTTCCAGACAAAATGATACATTATGTTACATTACTTTAAATAAACAGCCTTTCAGTTAAGTGTAATGTAAGGTCTCATCCACTTATTATTATTTGAATATGAATTATTTGATAGTTGCCGCAAATAAATGAATGTATGGGTATGCATCAAAACTCTACCAATAAAACCAAAGAAGACGCGCAG